TGTTTTAATATATATATATATATATATATATATATATATATATATATATATAGTTAAATGATATACAGACATAGATGCATACATACATACATACATACATATAATCTAATCAAGTAAATTGAATGCATTATATATATTTAATAAAATAACGAATTAAGCTACAAAGTGAAAGTAATTCAGTCAGTTTTCTTCATTCTAATGACTTTACTTAATCCAAATGTGTCATTTGCACATTATATCAACACAATTACTGCATAAAGTCAGTCAGTTGAAAGACACACTTGTGCTGATATTGTGTGATGTTTTATTCGCGTGGACACATTTTATTCCAGTAAATTTAGTATGTACTGAATAAACGTACACAAACGCAGTTACAGCCCAAATTAAGGAAAATTCAAACTCTTTTTTCACCTGTGGAAATGAAGGAATGAGTTCACTCTTTCTCAGAGTGTAAAGGAGGCCGCAGACCTTTGTGCTGGTCTCCTCACAGGAGTCACCTCAGTCTCCTCGTTAAGTAAAAGCGGAGGGGGTCTGCGCCTCATTCTGACTGGCTTTTAGAAGCCGCGCATTGGAGTAACAGGCCGGGTTCAGCGCTGCAGCTTTATGTAAATGAGGGGTCGCGGGGGTCAGGGCGGGCGCGTGGCTCGCGACAACTACCACCCTGCCTTATCCCCCCAAATACCCCCCTAACCCTACACCCCACCCGCACCGCAATCCGCCCCGCTCTTACCCCCCACCCCACACCCCCTTCTTTTTGTCCCTTTTCCCCCCAGAGGCCAAAAGAAAGAAAGAAAAAAATCCAATAACAATCAACGTTCCCTCGAGACAACAGACCGGTTGGGGGAGAGAGAGCAACGGCTGCGGGACGGGGAGGGGTGGGGAGGGGGGCGTCAGCGGATGTCGTCTCTGATGGAATAGAAGTGTGTGTGTCGGTGGGGGTGATGCGAAAGCACGCGCATTCATTCTACAGACGGTTCTGTTCTAATGCCTCCGCAAGACTGTTAGAATGCACGAATCACAGCGAGGGACTCAAGCGTGTCAGGTGTATTGTGTGTCATGGAACAGTGGAGTTGGGTATTATAGGACACCATGGGACAGTCGTGTTGGGTATTATGGGTCAGTGTGTTAGGTAATATGGGACAGTAGTGTTGAGTATTATGGGTCATTATGTTAGGTAATATGAAACAGTAGTGTTGTGTATTATGGGTCAGTGTGTTAGGTAATATGGGACAGTGGTGTTGAGTATTAAGGGTCATTGTGTTAGGCAATATGAGACAGTGGTGTTGGGTATTATGGGACAATGTTTTAGGTAATATGAACAATTGTGTTGGGTATTATGAGTCAGTGTATTAGGTAATATGGGACAGTGGTGTTGGGTATTATGAGTCAGTGTATTAGGTAATATGAAACAGTGGTAATGAGTATAATGGAACAGTGTGTTCAGCAATATGAAACAGTAGTGTTGGGTATTATAAGGCAGTGTGTTAGGTGTTATGGGACAGTAGAGTTGGGTATTATAAGACAGGGAGACATTAGTGTTGGGTATTATAGGGCATTAGTGTTGGGTAGTATGGTACAGTAGTGTTGGGTATTATGGAACAGTAGTATTAGGTATAAAGGGACATTGGTGTTGGGCATTATAGGACAGTGTAGATAATATGGTACAGTAGTGTTGGGTAGTGTATTCAGTAATATGGGACAGTGGGGTTGGGAATTATGGGACAGTAGTGTTAGGTAATATGGGGCATTGGTGTTGGGCATTATAGGACAGTGTGTTAGGTAATATGGTACAGTAGTGTTGGGTTTTTTAGGACAGTGTGTTCAGTAATATGGAACAGTGGTGTCAGGTATTATGGGGCAGTAGTGTAAGGTAATATGGGACAGTGGTGTTGAGTATTATGGAACAGTGTGTTAGGTATTGTGGGACAGCAGTGTTGGGCATTGTGGGACAATGTATTATGGGACAGTAATTTTCGGTATTTTGGGACAGTAGTGTTGGCTATTATTGGGTAGCATGTTAAGTATTATGGCACAGTGTGTTAGGCAATATGGGATGGTTGGTACTATGGGACAGTGTGTTAGGCATTATGGGACAGTGGGTTAGCTATGGAACAGTAGTTATGGGACTGTAGTTTTAGGTATAATGGAACAGTGTGTTAGGTGTTATGGGACCGTAGTTTTGGGTATTAGAGGCCGGTGTGTTATGGGTATTATGGGAAAGTATTGTTGCATATTACTGCCTGTGGCAGTTTAGCCCCACCCACTCACACTGAAGTTATAAGGAGTGTTTTCTGGGCTTTTTAAATGAAGACAATCCAAACAGAGCTCATTTATATCAGTCTTAAAAGTTCAGTAATAAAGCCAGCCTTTTTAATAATAAGGGATAAAAATAGGTTGGAAAAGGTTGTGTAAAGTGAATTATTACCCAAATCTACCCAAAACAATGTTACAAGTGGACCTCAAAAAATTTTAATTCAAGAAAAATGTAGGATGTGGGCCTTTAAACACAATTAACACAAAATGTAATATTGAGAGGTATTATGTCTCACCATGTGATAGTTCTGCACACAGATATTCGACAGTATGTTTCTTGTTATGGGATACCGTTCATTACTGGTCCTGAATAATAAAGGCATTCTTTTGTTCAGCTTTGCTTTAAAGTGACTTTAGTTACCTAATTAGTCTACAATATTTTAGTTTTGCTCTATTTTATACTACTGTAGTACTTTATTTTGTAGGCAATAATTGTCTAGAACATTTTATTAACTTGCAACCATTTTTAAATAACGTCTGTCCAAAGCTCTGTTTTGTAAACATGAATGGAAACTTGAAATCTCCCTGCTTGTCTCTACAGAATGAGCAAAAGTGCAGCTAATTCAGCGAAAACTTAATCTTTTGATGTAGGCTACACCAAATACGGTCACCTCTACGATTTTTGTCGATTTTTTTAAACTTTTCTGAATGTTTGTCCAACTTTTTGCTAATACAGTTAACCAAACAGAGATGTAGCTGATTTACATAACCAAGAAAGCTAAAATCAGAACATGTCAGGAATGTTCGTTTATGTGAAACGTACGATTTCTTATCGAACAATGCGAATAATCGGAAACAATTCTATGAAATCAGTGATATTGCTGCAGATATCTGTGTATTGATCGAAGCCCCCCGGATCCAGCACTGGCCTCAGTTAAACAGAACCCTCCCCATTCGCCGTTTACCGGTTTGAGAGCCGTTAGTGTTGGCGGGCTTAAAAACAGAGCTGCTGGACTATTCGCCACCGAGCCGCTCTGGAGGGAGGAGGGCGGTGGGCTTGTGGAGCCGGTGGGGGCGGTGGACCCGGTGGCCTCCTTCGCCAGATTGCGGACGTGCGATGAAAATGGTTAATTTCGATGACAATAAGATGACAGACTGTTGCTATTGTTCGGATCAGACGTTTGGCGGTGGGGGTGTGAGGCCGGAGGACTGCAGGATCTAGAAGGGTTTACACTGGCTGCCAAAGGAATTCATCCTCCAACGCTCTCTTTCTCTCCCTCTTTTTTTAAAAGTATGTTTACATCCTCAGTCACTTTTTTAATATTTTAAATACGACGTCACCAACATCACCAACACTCCTGATTTAATAATGAGCTGCTAGACGGGCAGGTTTGTGATTCAGCCCACACACTGATATCCATACAGTCACTGACTGGATTAATAGTATTTATGTTTATTCTAATATTAGTGTTCTTTATAGGAAATAAAGGCTTCGTTCAATGCAGTTAAATACATTCTACATATATCTTTGTACAATTTATATAATATAGAGTTTGACCGGTGGTATTCAAACATGTCATTTGACCAAGGGTGCCAACACTTATATGTACGTATATACAAACAAAAGTTTTGGCACCCTCGGCCAAATTACATGTTTTGTTGATTTTCTATTTGGAAATAAGTTATTTTGAGTTTAACATATTAGAAATATTCGAAATATAAAATGTGCCACAACTGTTGCAATTTTTTTGCCAATATATTAAATAAAAAAACCGGTAATTATGCATCAAAACACACAAAGATATATATATATATATATATATATATATATATATATATATATATATATATATCAGGGTCAAATTATATATATATATATATATATATATATATATATATATATATATATATATATATATAATTTGACGGGTGGACATGTAATTTGACCAAAACTTTTGCATATATATACATATAGGTGTGTGCATATTTGATGTGTTACATATTTAAATGCCACTGGTCAAATTATATATATATATATTTATATATTTAAATTATAATTATATATATTATATATGCAGAGCGAGGAACATGAAATTTTAAAAGTGCTGCTATTTCCCCAGCTAAGTTATACACACTTGTGTATGAGTGTCCCGTTTACTCAGCAAGTCCTATTGCTCTCTATCTCTCTCTTTCTCTCTCTCTCTGTCTGTCAGAACCCAAGCACCCCACCCCCGCCCCCTTCCACCTCCTCATTTTCATTCCTCCGTTTTGATGAATGGACAGAGGGCTTCGGCACGTGTTACTCTGAATGGAGTCCCAGAGGGGAATGCTGAATAAAAGTTGGCTAAGCCTGGAGTGTGGCAGGGCCTGATCTACATAATGGTGAGGGACCGTCAAGGACGGGGCAAGTGGTCGAGGGAGGGGGGGTTTTGGAAGGGGGGTTAGACGGGGTGTATGGTACTGATGGAAGAACAGTCGAGGGTAGGGGGGGGTGGTCGACATCTGCCGCTCCTCTCCTCAGAGACCCTGGGGTGGATCATGTTGCATTGACGCCTGGACCACAGCCATCTGCGTCCTAACTGTCGCCCAGTGCGCACAGGGGGCCTTTAAAAAGGGAGCCAGACACGGGGGCCAGGAGTTCAGTGTGGCCAAGAGCCTCAAGGCGTTCAGTGCGGCTCATCCTCAACCCTGAAACTTTGGCTTAGCAGGACTTTCCGCAAGATCTCCCGGATCTCCAGTCCGCAACCATGCCAAAGGGTTTCCTCGTAAAACGCTCGAAAAGGACCGGGCCGGCTTCGTACCGGGTGCGGGAAGAGGAGAGCACAACGCAGGACCCTCAGCTCAGAGCTCCGGCTCTTCCCTCAGAGCCCCGCAGCTTTGTTCAGAGGACGCCGGCTAGGTGCTGTTTCGGCGGCCTCCCTGAGCTCTCCTTCCTCGCTCCCTCTCTGAGCCCCACGCGTCCAGACAGCGAGGGTTACAGCAGCCAGCACCCGGCGCATCAGCACCCCGAGCTCTTCCCAGAACCTCTTCTCGGCGGCTTCGCTATCAACGGCTCTCCAGTGTCGCCTTCGCTGCCGGAAACGACCGCGGAACCGGCTTCCTTCGGCGAACCAGCGAAAAAACGAGCCGCCCCAAACAATGAGCAGCAGTCCGGCTCGAAGAAGCAGCGCTCCTCCTCCAATCAGGAGAGGAGAGCGAACGTGCGGGACGCCGTCACCACATCGCCCGTGCTGGGGCTTCGCATCAAGGAGGAGGAGCCCGAGGAGGAACCAAAGCGGCTCTCCAGCTCCAGCAGCTCCACCAACTCCATCCCCCTGGGCGAGTTCGTCTGCCAGCTGTGCAAGGAGAGATACCCGGACCCCCTCAGCCTAGCCCACCACAAGTGTTCCCGCATCGTCCGCGTCGAGTACCGCTGCGACGAGTGCGACAAGGCGTTCAGCTGCCCGGCCAACCTCGCCTCGCACCGCCGCTGGCACAAGCCCAAGGGCGCCGGCCTGAGCGAGGCTGAGAGCCGGCTGAGCCCGCGGCCGCAGCCTAGCCCCCCTTCCTCCGAGGACGACACTCCTTTCGGCTGCCCGCGGTGCTCCAAGAGGTTCCGCCGTCAAGCCTACCTGAGGAAACACCTCGCCCTCCACGACCGCAAGGAGGCGCGCGCGCACCAGGCCACGCCCCCCGCCTTCAGCGCCGCGGAGCCACGCCCAACAGCCACGGAACTTTCTCCGGAGCTTTCTCTCAGCTTTCCTTTCGCGGAGGCGGCGAAGGTTCCGGCCGCTGCCGTGTTTCCGTGCCGCTTCTGCGGGGAAAACTTCTTCTCCTCGCCGGGGCTGACCAGACACATCAACCAGCACCACCCCACAGAGAGCAGGCAGATCATTCTGCTCTCTAACGCGGTCTGAGGCTTTTCAACAGCGGCCAGAGTGGAAGACTTTCCCCTCAGAAACGTTTTCCTGTTAGCTTATGCTAACACAAGACAGGAAACCTCAAAAACATTCCAAAAATTTCTAGCGTAGACATGGTGTACATTCCCTTTTTTCATAAAATGATATTTATTTATTTATATATTGATTTATTTATTGGTTTATTTATTAATGAATGTATTTATTTAACGTTTAATGCCATTTGCCGTTGTGTTTTTTTAGCATTTTTCCATGTTTACCCTGATGCACATTGCCTTTGAAACGACTGAATCATGTTACGTAACTTTAAAAAAACCTTTTATACTTTTCTACACAATAAACTTTATTCACCTTAATGTCACTTTGTGTTTTTTTTAACTGAACTTACAATTTACATCCTAAAATCTACAAAGCAAAATAAAGAAAACTCAGCTTAAAGGGGATTCCACCAATTTTTTAAAATTTCTGTAAACAGTAATGTAAGGCTGAACGCCTTGTCACACTCGTGAACAGCGTCATTCACAGTGATTTGATGTGAAATGGTTAATTGTAGAGAAACTTACTGACTGATTTCTTTACAGTGGTGCTGATACGAAAATCTGAAAAAAATAAGTTTTCTTTTGGGACTATTTTGCCTCAGAACAACCTGCACATGCCCCTCCACCATGAATGGCTTTCAGAAATATATGTTTTAGGCCAAATCCTTACCTCAAAACTCAGACGTGAGGCAGCATATTCATAATCATATAATATAATTACTTTCTGTGGAAAGGGAGCATTTAAAGGCGTTAAATTGCTCAGACGTCTGGTTCCTATCACCACCACTGTGAACAATTCTGACTCGGTAAGTTTCTGTAGAACAGAGCATTTCACACCAAACCACTCTGAATCTCTTTGCATCTCAAACACTTAATTATGTACAAATTTTGAAAATTCGGTGGAATTCCCCTTTAATTCAAAACAAAGACTTTGTGATCAATTAAAAAAAGTTATCCAAACTCAGCCAAATGAAGACATGAAAAAAGTCAGTAATTAAAAATACAAAGTCTGAATGTTGTCAGAATTTCTTTAAAACCCTTTTAATGCAAGTCATTTTTAAACTGTTTTAGGCTACTGTTGGGTAATTCCCCACAGCATGATTGAGAGAAAAATTTAGAGATGTATAAAAAACACCAACTCATGATTTCTGTGATGTGATACACAACAAAACTAAAAAGAGTAAACAACGCATTGAATTTCAAAAGTAAAACAGATTATAAAATTTTATGAGAATTAAATGTATTTCGTGATTACAGGAAGATGAAAAAGGAAAAATAAAACTAAAGAAAGCATAAAAATAGAAAAAATTATTTCAGCAGGTTGTCAGGTTCACAAAAACACACATAACCTTAGAAGTAGAGAGAGAGAGAGAGAGAGAGTTGTACTGACTCCACACACCCCGTCTTGTCTCCAGGCTTTTTATTTAACTGTTCTGTTTTCAAACATTCAGTTATAAAAAGCTACAAATATGTACTTTTCACCTGGAAAGACGTATTTAAAGTTCACAATTGGACCTTAAAACCACTGTTGTACTTTTCAGGGAACATCTATATTGTTTGTACATTGATAAACCACAAATGTACCTGCATAGAACCTTTATTTCCAACAGTTTATCAAGCTTGTAATGAAAGAAGAACTCTTTTTGGGGGGCTATACAGAACCCTTTTCGAAAAGGTTCTATACAGAACCATCTACAGCACATTCTCCATTTCATGACGTAAAGAACCCTTTAACCATACAAAGGGTTTTTTGGGTGTTCATGGTTGTATATAGAACCATTTTCTTTACCAACAAACCAGTAAAGAACCATTTGTAAGTGTGTATGTGTTAGAAATATATATATTTTAAGTAAGGTTTCAAATTTGATTACAGGAGACAATCTGTATCCCTTCACTGCTATCAACAGAAGTGTGATTCATCACTCCACAGAACACGTTTCCACTGCTCCAGAGTCCAGTGGCGGCACTTTACACCACTCCATCCGACACTTGGCGTTGTGCATTATGATCTTAGGCTTGTGTGCAGCTGTTTGGCCATGGAAACCCATTTCATGAAGCTTCTGAAGCACAGATGTTTTTGTTGTTTTGCTTTTAGAGAAAATTGGGAACTCTTTAGTGAATGATTGAACAGAAGATAGGCACTGTGTGCTTCAGCACTCGCTGGCCCTGCTCTGAGTTTGTGTGGTCTACTGCTTCATAGCTAAACTGTTGTTGTTCCTGGACGCTTCCATTTCACAAAGATAGTACTTACAGTTGTCTGGGGCAGATCTAGCAGGACAGAAATTTCAGAAACTGACTTATGGTAAAGGTGGCATCCTATGACAGTGCCATGTTTATAGTCACTGAGCTCATCAGTATGACACATATTACTGCCAGTGTTTATCTATCGAGACTGCAAGGCTATATGCTTAATTTGATCCACCTGTTAGCAATGGGTGTGAAACACCTGAACTCAATAATTAGAAGGGGTGTCCCAATACTTTTGTCTATGTAGTGCATCAGTTTAGGAGCTGAAAGCTCTGTTCTTCTCATTTTTCATATGCTTTTGGTAAGAAACGACATGACAAACCTCAAAATTCAGAGTTGTAATCACTCGTAAAGCTCCAAAGTCACCAGCATTAAGAAATTAAACACAGCTAAATGTTAATAACTAAAGTGTAATGGAGTAAAAATAAGGCAAAATACTTTAATCACAAATATATAGTAGTAGTAGAACCTTTTTAGTGTTATAAAGAACCATTTTCAAAAAGGTGCTGTGTAGAACCATATACAATACATTCTCCAACAATCTAAAGATGCAAAGAACCCTTTAATCATGCCAAGGGCTCTTTGCATCCTGAAAGGGTACTATTGTTACAAGCATGACATCGTAACAATAGTAGAACCCATTTTGGGTGTTTGACAGAAACTCTTTCGAAAAGGTCCTATATAGAACCACCTTCAGCACGTTCTTCATCAATCTGAAGAACCACTCCATGATGCAGAGAACCCTTTAATCATGCAAAGGGTTCTTTTAGTGTTCATGGTTCTATATGGATCATGGTTCTTTTTCTTCACTAAAGAACCCTTGAAGAACCATCTGTTTTAAATGTGTAGTTATTTCTGCACTGACCTTGACTCGTTTCAAAGGGGTGAAGACCTGCCTGACCATCTGCCTGAACAATGCCTCCTTAAAACAATCAGCTAAGCATTGAGTTTGAACTACATGATATGAAACGTATTAACTTATTGGGCCTATTTGGGTTTATCATCGGCGGCTGAGTGCAGCCCTCCCTGTTGAAAATATTTTTTAAATTTTTCTTTTTAAAATATTCAGTAACTACTTATTTGAAGTATGATTGTGTTAAAAACGCACAATCATGTGTAAAATATAAAATATACTGGGGGAAACTCCTCTTCATTCTCTCTGTCTTCTGGGGTGATAGAAATATCGCCCGGTCAGAGCAGATCCGCACATAGCAACATAAATTCAGCCAATCAGCATCCTCGAATCTGATGCCTAAAGGGCGCTTCATTTATCGCCCCAAGCAGAGTCAGTCCGTGGTGAAGTAGGGACACCTGACCTTATCAACAATGGCCATGGGTTAATATATATATTATATATGTGTGTGTGTGTATATATATATATATATATATATATATATATATATATATATATATATATATAGCCACACAAACACTATTCATTTATTCAAATGTTTCTTTCTGTTTTATATATAGCTTTATGTATAACTGTTCTGTTTACTAAAGAACCAAAGAGAGTTGTATTCTTTTTTTCTAAAACTTGAATACGCACAACATAACATAACATAACATAACATAAACATAATTTATGATAGAAATAAAATGCTGAAATACAGACTGTGTAAGTAGTTCATCTAAACAGAAACATCAGATGAAGTAAATGTATAAATATGTTCCACCTTATGATTCAGTCTATAGATTCACTGCGTTTGGAGCTGAAATGTCTCCAATAAACTCTCGTGTCGTCCGACGAAACGACTACGAGTGAAGTCATTTTCGGAGGCCTGATTCTTTATATAGTCACTTGTTGCGTGATGCCTGACGTCACCGCGTTCAAGTGTAGTGTCACTATGCGAGCTCCTATAAAGCGGCGACGTTAATCCCGCAGCGGATTATATATAAAAAAAGAGTGACGTTCAAATTAAAATGAATTCACAGTTTAAATTAAACAGTCCAATCAGAGCTGAGTGGGTCTTTTTCACTGGAGGACCTGGACTCGGTTCTTAAGTCCAACCGCAGAGACAGAAACACAGAACACAGAGCGATTTCTGTATAAATGTAATATAATTAAATATCTACATGTTGGCGGTGATGGAGCTATTTAAAGGATAACAGGGGCTCCAGTACAGAGACTGTTTTAGTGAAAAACGTATCAGCCCTCATAACACAGTGAAGCTGGCCTCCTTTAACAGTAGTGAATAACAGGAATGAGCTAAGCTAAATAACCTTTCCAGATGATTTATTTCAGCATCCGACTTCAAGTACTACTTTTAAATAAGCTCAGTGTTAAAAGGAAATTCCACCGATTAAAAAATCCATATAATTAAATAGTTGAGATGTAAACAAAGTCATTCAGAGCGGTTTTGGTGTGAAACGCTTCGTTTTAGAGAAACTTAGTCAGAATTGTTCACAGTGGCGGTGATAGGAACCAGACGTCCACCTCTAAAAGCTGCTCACGGAAAATTATTACATGAAATGGTTATAAATTCGCTGCCTGATGTCTGAGAAAATGTTTTATGATAGTTTTGTGATTAACGTTTTGGCTGAAAATGCATTTGAATCCGCTTATTTTAATCCATCCATGGCGGAGGGGTACATGCAGGGCGTTTTGAGGTAAAATAGTCCCCAAAAAAACGTATTATTATCATATTTATGATTATGTTGTCATCATCAACATCACATATAAAACTCAGAAGACACGTGTAGGTTCACTGGTGG